CACCACCAATATTCATACATTCCACCATAGTAAACCACTCTGGCCTGTGTAAACTCCTCGAAGATACAGCCAAAGAAAAATTCGAGGTTAAGTACCTCAAAAACCAGGTGAAAATCACCACGACCACCACCTCCGACTTCCAGGCAATTAGATCTATCCTAACCTCCAATAACATACAGCTACATACATACACACTCTCCAACGAAAAAACTATGGCAGTCGTCCTCAAAGGCCTACCCAAGCTCCCCCCGTCCCAAATAATCCAAGAAATTCAAGCCAAAGGCCTCAACCCTCTCTCCTGCACGGAGCTCAAGAGGAAAGAAACCAGCTACCTGGCAACCTATAAATTAGTCTTCTCCAAGGGCACCACCCTTCAGCAAATAAACCAAGTCAGGTCCCTAGGGCACACCCGCGCCTACTGGGAAAAATACAACAGTTCTAGACCCTACATTCAATGCTACCGTTGCCAAGCCTTCGGACACTCCTCAGTAAATTGCACAAAGAATCCCGCTTGCGTAAAGTGCGCAGGACCCCACCTCACTAAGGACTGCGTCAAACCCCCAACCACCCCAGCCACCTGCTGCAACTGCAAGGGCGCACACCCAGCAAATTACAGCCAGTGTCCCTCCCTTCTAGCCTTCCTACAGAAGAGAGCCGCTAAAGCCCACCCACTCAAAGCTCCCCAAATAACCCCCACAATCGCCAGCCTCCCTACCCCACCCACAATTCTCCTCCAATCAACCAAGCCATCTCAAGCTCCAATATACCAGAGAACGTACGCCAACGTAACCGCTAACTCCACTCCCAACCCGAAAACCCCAAATCAGCCTGACCTCACCAACCTCTTCTCCAAGGCGCAAGCCATTAACGAACTACTAGACATCTCCAGCATGGGAGCCGCCTTAGACTTCCTATACAGTAAACTATCAACATGCCAAACAAAAGTCCAGAAACTTCAAGCCTTCTTAGAAGCCGCCGAGCTTATAAATGGCTAATCTCCCCCCAAAAATAATCCTATGGAACGCCACCAGCATCCTCAACAAAATCCCAGAACTCCAACTCTTCCTTGAACATCACCAAATCCAAATAGCCCTCATCTCAGAAACCTGGCTAAAGCCAGCTGATTCCATCCGACTCACCAGATATAGCATCATCAGAAACGACCGCCCAACCCCAAAAGGAGGAGTAGCAATCATAATACACCAGAGCCTAAAATTCGATCCACTCCCACTGCCGTTCCTGAACAACGTAGAAGCTATATTCATCCAACTCTCCAATAACCCTAAAACCATCATAGGCGCAGCCTACCTACCTCCCAGCAAACGCTTCACACAACAAGACCTCAATGCATTAACCACACACAATCAAAAATTCATAATTGGGGGCGACTTCAACGCCAAACACACCTGCTGGAACAACACAAGCACAAACACCAACGGCAAAACACTATATACACACATGACAAAAAACTCGTACCATATCGCACACAGCGACACATACTCCCACAAACAACCTCGGGCCAGACCCTCAAACATAGATATCTTCCTAACAAATTCCTCCCACTACACCGAATTCTACACCATCCACGACCTACCCTCCAACCACCTCCCAATCATCCTAAAGCACAACACAAACAGCACAAATTTCACAAACTGCACAATCTCCACCACCAACTGGCTCCAATTTCGCAACCAGGGTAGCAACTACCCTATCAACGCGCACCTTAACACCACACAGGACATAAACCAAGAAATTTCCAAAATCCAAAAATCAATCCTACGTTACCACAACAGAGCAACCACCACTTCCCATGCTTACTCCAAAACCATTAAGCCAGACCTAGAGCTCATCAACCTCATCAAACTCCGAAACCGATACAGGCGCAAATACCAGAACACTGCTAACCCCTTGCACAGACACCTCAAAAACACCCTCACAAACCAAATTAAGACCAAGATCCGAGACTTCAAAAACACCTCCTGGAACCGCAAGCTCTCCCAAATCGACTCCAACCCCACCACCCTCTGGTCAACCTACAAAGCCCTGAAAAACAACAAACACACCATACCTCCTCTCACAGCCAACAACATCACAGCATACACCAACTCCGATAAAGTGGAACTCCTAGCCAAAACACTCCACCTACCACCCCCTCAACCTAATAACACCCCTGTTGACCAGGAAGCCGATCTCCTCGCTCAGAACCTTGCCTCCTCCGACACCACTCCACTCAACCCACAATTCATCACCCCACAATTAATCCACAGACTCATAAGAAACCTGAAAAACAACAAATCCCCAGGACAAGACCAAATCACAGCACTCCAATTCAAAAACCTACCCAACCGAATGATCATCCAGCTTTACTACATCCTCAGGCAATCCTACAACCTGGCCTACTTCCCCAGCTCCTGGAAAACATCTAAAATCATACCCCTCCCTAAACCAGGGAAAGCTCACACCAATCCTAACAACTATAGACTAATCAGCCTCCTGAGCCTGCTAGGCAAAATCCTAGAGAAAATCATCCTGATACAAATACAATCCCACCTCTCAGAAGACAACTCCCTAATCCCAGAACAATTCGGCTTCCGAGCCAAACACTCCACAATCCACCAAGCCCTCAGACTGCAGGAAGACATTGCGCTAGAAGTGAACAAGAACAGATCGGTGGCTCTAGTCCTACTAGACCTCCAGAAAGCCTTCGACACTGTCTGGCACAATGGACTCCTGCTCAAACTACAGCACATTAACCTCCCCAAACATCTAATCAAGATAACCCAAAGCTTCCTACACAACAGAATGATGACTGTAAACCACAATGGCACGAAATCCACACCCAGACCACTACACACAGGAGTCCCTCAAGGGTCAGTCCTTGGCCCTACACTATTCAACATATATATAAACGATATCCCCAGAAACCACAACACCAAACTCGCACTCTACGCCGACGACACTGCAGTCTACTCCTCCTCATGGGCTCCAAATCAAGCGGTAAAATACGCGCAAGACCACCTCAATAGCATCCATCAGTATACCCAGACCTGGAAGCTTACCTTAAACCCCACCAAAACAGAGGCAATCCTCTTCACCTGCAAGCGCAATCCCAACCCCACCAACCTCTCCATAGACAACCACCCCATAATCTAGTCAGACAAAGTTAAATATTTAGGAATCTGGTTCGACACAAAACTACAATGGAAACACAACACACACGACCGAGCCTGCAAAGGCATCGGAATCCTACGCATGCTTTATCCTCTCATAGCCAAAAACAGTCCACTCTCTACCTCTCTGAAACTTCGCATATACTACACCTGCGTACGCCCAATCCTAACATACGGAGCAGAAATCTGGTGCACCACAGCCAACACACACCTGTCCAGGATTCAGATAATACAGAATAAGTATCTCCGCATCATACTAAACAAACCTCTTTCACCAGAGAATCGCCACACAACTGCTTCATTGCATGAGGAAGCACAAATAGAATATATTCGCGAGCATGTCATGAAGCTGGCCGCTGCAGCTCAAATCTCCAACCTACATCACCCAAATCCCCTAATAGCCACTCTAGGGAACTATGACCCCATCACTATCCCACTAAAAACGCGGATAAAAACACCCAGACTCATCCTAAACTAACAACCCCCACTATCAAACTAACCGCATGACGCAAGAAAACGAGGTTTTTGAAAGTTTTCCCTCTAGCCTGAACGCATGAAATACCACAACCCCACACTAACATAAATATATACCAGGCACTAACAATTATCCTAAATGCAGGTTATAGGGCCCCCAGCCCCAGGTACTGCAACTAAACACGAATAATAACAAAAAAAAAAAAAAAAAAAGATCATCGGAGAGAAGGTTACAAAACGTCTAACATCATACACCGCCGTACGAACGAGAGAGGGTCCACGTCCAACAGAAATACAGTCCACTACACAACCAACGCCTTGCATATCAACAGACGTGCAAGAAGAGCTCTGGACGTGCAACACATTGTACGAGCTCTCAACAGTCGGAAAGTAAAAAATGTCTGGGCACTCGAGATTATGCGAGTTCGAATTTTAGCTGTGTTGAGAGCAAGAAGGATAGACTCACATTCGCCGCCTTTCTCGAATCCTCGAAGCTATACTTTTTCAATCCCTCCCATAGTCAAGTCACATGTATTTACGCACACATTCAGCTGGCTGCCCATTAAACTAATTCAGTGCCTAGTTTCTCAACTGACCGCCATCCATGAGAAGAGGCCGCTAAAATCACCTCCGAATTTTTAGGTCGGTATGGCAGTCAGATTCGGCCGCGAAAGCACATAAGGTGAAAGGTCTATTCATATGTATAAGTCGTCTGTGCTCCTATCACATAAAATACAAAGATAATTAAAAAAGTGCTTACCAAAAGATATAATAATACCACTCACGCGTTTTTTCATTACAAAAATTGAGTGGTATAGTAGTTTGTAATTTGTACGATACACTAGCTTCTAGTTAGACGCAACAATCAACTGACTTTTTTAGCTGTATACGCGCGACTAGTACATGGCGAAACTTGATCATTTTTTAATCTATCTCTACTATTGTTTATGCGAAATAACGATCGCATAGCGTATCACACTTTAAATATATCGCAACTGTTCGGTTTTAGAGGAACTCCCCCTATAGCAATACTAATTATTTCTAAGCTTACCCACCTGCGCGGTTAAATAAAATTAAATAGTATTTTTCGGGCGCATTACGTTTCGTGGTATTTGTATGTAAAAGGGTTAACAATTTTGTGCGATTGCGTATCGGCGATAGATTCACGTTTGTGAGCGCGATGGACACTGCATCGCGATCGTTTGTTGTCGAAATTTCCCTGTATCCCGTTCGCCTGCTACCAGAACGTCGTGGTCGTTGGTTTTCACCCTACGGGGATGCCAAGATGAACGTTAGTCCAAATTCACGTGGAATATCCGATTACGCTGGTTAGCCAACTATATGTGAAATATCGTGATGACTTCTGAGACAAATGACGAGGCTCCGTGTCTCGAGCGTCTTCATCGAGAAGTACGAACCATTAGTTTGTTATTATTCGCTTAACCTCTTCAGCGGCCACTATATTACGTTGTCTCGCGCAGGCCTTTACTTGTTTAGACACCTTCCCGAGCAAAATCATCGAGTTGAATAATCTCGTCAACGAGTACATGCCCGATTCTGTGAAAAACAGCAAGTACAATAACAATTCCGTTGGGCGGAAAGTCAAGTGTCCGTCTACGCTTTCTACAACAAGAAATTGGGACATAAACAGCATCTCGGATTATGCTGGTAATTTATTAATTGAAAATAATGAAATCGCATAGACAGTGTCCTTTTCACTTTGGTTCCTTTAGTCTCGAGTTACTACCCTCTGTCGATATGTGATCGCAGTCGATCGAGACACGGAATTTCCAAAAGAAAATACTATCGATCGCGAGGCGTAATCGGATGCACTATACGCCGAAGACCCGGGCCGCTCGGAAAACTTTTAGCATTTATAGTCAGCAGCCTCGCGACGTGCACGAAGAAGATCGTCGTTGTTCCGTCTCAGTACATTATCGACAACATTATTTCAACGTTCTTCCAACGGTAAGAGGCCCGATAATATCTCCCCGGCGAAATAAAAAAAATTATTGACCGTGTTATTCCCTGGCGAAGGCACAAGCTAAAAAACGCACAATGCGGTCCCTCGCCGAATTGGGACTGCTCTCTCTCGACTTACGTGACCACGCTCAAGAAGGATACCACGATCATTGGAAATCTTATCGATATTATGAGACCCGCTGCAGTGAAACTCATCGCTGACACCACCATCGTAAGAATTCTCAAACTAACATACAGGGTGTAAACGATAACTTTGGCAAAAATCATAGGGTAAGTAGACAGTGGCGGATTTAAGGAAAAAGGCCCAGGTGGCAAACGTCCTGAGGGGCCCATTTTTCGGGAAAAATGAAGAAATAGTTTACTAAAAACGGGCTAAGTGTAGTAGTACAGATGTAATTATATTACTATGTAGTTTTATACATGTTTATACATGATACTTATTATGTAGTTTTAAATCCTCGCCTTGCTTTCTGTTCAGCAAATATTTCGATTGTCGAATACAAATCAATTTTATTCGCAACTGCTTTTTCGATATAAAGAATACTGAAGTCATTAAGGGTTTCCTCAGCTAGAGTGGCACGGCGATATTCTTTGATTCTTTTCAAAGAGCTCATGCCCCTTTCGGCGCTCGCTGTGGTAACTGGTAATGTTAGGTACAATCTGAACAGACTACAACACTCCGGAAAGCTGTCCATCAAATTATGTTTCACAATAAATCCCAAATACTGCAAAGGACTGTCATTTGAAGAATCATGCTGTTGCGCGAAATACAAATCAGCGAAACTGGACAATTCATGTTTGAGATCAGTTGTAAAGAAATCAGTATATTTCTCTAACAAAATACTTGTGCTGGTCTCAAAATCACTTGGTTTCATGCTGTGCAGTATTTCAGGCATTAAAAAACCAAAAACGTTATTAATCTCTTTGAAACCGTTTGCACGATCCTGTAATTCGCAACACATTGTATCGAGAACTTCGTAATAACTGGCTCGATGCTTGTCAGGCGTCTCTAAAACACAGTCAACGCTATTTTCACCAGGCATTTTCTTAATTTTCCGTTTTCTTGCAACTGGAAAATCAGCACGTTCCAAGCTCATTTTTCCCCACTGACTTCTCGCTTTTGTGATGAAATTATTGTAGGCGCTTTCATCCCTTAAATCTCTCATTTTCTTCAATGCTGCTCAAGTGCAATGCTGCGCCGTTATCAAGTTTAATTCTTTCTTCTGCAGTTGAATTTGCGCAACACTGATTATTTCAAGCACAGAATGCCACCATAACAAATTCAGAAAAAATAACCAATTTAATGAAGAAAGCAATGATTGAGCAGTCATTATGTCATCTCCAGTAGCTGCGTCCCTTGAAATTTCCTTCTCCAGACAATCCACGATGCACTCGAAATTTTGGATGAATGCTTCCATAGCTTTTATACGTGCAGCCCAACGGGTTGTACTTAAACCTTTAATGTGGAGTACTCGTTCGCGTGATTTGTGAGCTTCATCGTATGATAATCCGTCTTCTGTGTCTGCATCGGATTCGAAGATCTCTTTTTTAAGGTCTTTTAAAAGCTGAATGCCAAAACTGTTGGAGTTCCGTGATGGATTTTTGCTTGCTTCTAAAAGTTCATCCCATCGTCTGTGAGAATGCGCAAAGTAATTGTAAATTCTTTGGATTATCGCAAAAAACACTTTAATCGAAGAACTCGCATTTTCTTCCGCAGCATGCACCAAAACCACTTGATGATTGATACAGTGAATATACGGAACAAATGTCTCATCGCCGACATATTCCTTCATTTTCGCTTGCAAACCACCTTCACGTCCTGACCATTACCGCTGCACCGTCATAGGCCTGACCAGACAAATACTTCTTCTGGAAACCATATTTATCAAACAATATGGCGGTTATAATATTGCAAATAGATGTAGCATCCCCTTTTGTCAGTTGAACGAAGCACAAAAAACTCTCTTTGATACATATTGCAGACGCAGTTGAACCTTCATTCTGAATAACAATGTATCGTAACAAAATAGCCATTTGGTCCAAGTGAGCAATATCCGTCGTTGAGTCAGCGATTAACGTGAAAAATTTGGCACCTTTACATTCATCAACAATAAACTTTCTGGTCTGATCAGCTAATGTACTGAGTAACTCATATGTTATTGTTTTACTTAAATATTTGATTCTTTCTGGCGATTCAAGATGCGCATGTAGAATAGGAGTATGGCGAGAAATCAATTTAATGATACTCAAATAAATACCGGGATGCTCAACCTTTTGTAAATTTTCACGGTGACCACAAAAACCAACGCCCAACCAGATAAAGTTTTCACAGTCTCAAAAAGTATATTCAAAATTGCGTGCCATTTCTTAGCTTCTTCGCTTATTTGTTGTTCGAGTTTATGACGAATATCATTTTTCTGGAGAAATGTTGCAGCAGCGACTACATTGCTGAGATGGGCTTTACTTAAACTATGTTGTGTGACCGATTGATGACAATGTTTCCAGTCTGTGAAACCAACGTACCAAATGCTTTTTTTCGCAGTTTCATCGCCAAATAACCAACAGTAGTGACAATAAGCATAATTTTTTGTTGGTGAATAAGATAACCAGGGACTGTAGTTATCTTCCATGAAAGGCTTTTTTTTGTTCTTATAATAAAATGAAGAGTTGAATCGACGTTTGTCACTCGATTGTTTGAATTCCCCGCCAGGCATATCACATTCTCTAGGCTGTTAAGGGCCTGTCAACAAAAGAGCTCTGATTTGATCCACATTCAAAGAAATCCCACTAGCATTATCATAAAGACCTTTATCATTCTCAAATTCAAAAATTTTTGGTGTTGATCCAGTAGGAAGCACAGATGTTGTTGCTGGTCGATATACCTTTTCGTTTGATATATTCATAGACGTAGAATTTACGGGGTCACTTTCATTAAACTTTTCTGCAACGTAGCCTGTTCCACTGGACGTTGCAATGACAGGTTCATTATGAATCGTAGATTCGCCTTGACTGATCACAGGTTGATTGGTTGCTTCATTTACAGTCGCATCTTCACATTCGGCACTATCTTCATTTTGGTTTTTAGTAGAGATAACAGAACTACTTTGAAAGAATTTTCGGACTTTTGCTTGTCTTGGATCATTCGCTGCCTCTTCCATCTTCCATTTCTCTTTCTTTTTCCTCTTCATAAATCCACTCTTCGGTTTCTTATCCTTATACTACAATATCCTCTGGCGTATATGGCACGTGACTGACGGTTCCGCGACTGACGGTTCCGCGCGGTTCAAACAAAAGAGTTTGTAGCCGCACGACACACATTGTTAGTCGCAAGTGGAAATAAGGGCTGAGAGCAGAGATGGGCAAAATTTTCATTTAAATAAATTTCATATAACGAATGAAAGTTAAAAAAATTATTCGTCATGTGTCGAATAAAGTTGACTCGGGTTCGTCGCATAAAGTTAATTTTTTTTGTTAATTTAAGTCGAATAGATTTTTCAACTTCAACTTTAACTTTAACCTTATTCGACGCCGAATAATTTTCTGGCGCGTGTTCAAGCCGCAAAGGACCGGGGATTGAGGCCTGGCGCGCGCATTACAATGTAGTATCGCCCAATGACGGTCCTCGGCAGGTCAAACACGCGCTAGAAAATTATTCGGCGACGAAAAAAGTTAAAGTTGAAAAATTTATTCCACGCTGAAGTTGAAACGCTCGACGAATAAAAAATTAACTTTATTCGTCAAATAATCTACGGTTAAAGTAATTTGTATTTGATACGTTTCTTAAATAATTGTTTATTTAGTCAATGCCCAACTCTGACTCGTGGTGACTTTGCGTGGTGACGGGAGAGGAGGGCCCGGGGCACTACACCTGAAGTCCTGAACGGCACGCGTCAAGGCAGTCGTTTCCGGATGAAAATGGGAAACCCCGAACGCTTCCAGAAGGATCGGGGGTCAACTGGGCAGCCGGTAAACGAATGGGCATGATAGAGCGAGAGTTTTGGAGCGAAAGAATTCAGAACGTGCAAGCGAGACTGAGTGTGACATGGAAAGCGCGAATATATAATAAACAGAACTGAGCTGTATTATACAATTATAATATATATATTATTATCCTGACACAAACAAGTTGGAATTACAAAACTATTCCTATAGTATGCTGTATACATAACAGAATTACAATTAAATTTTCGCGTGTACGGTATGAAAATTATGACAAACAAAAAAAAAAAATTTTTTTTTCCAAGATGGACCTGCTCATTTGCCACCCTGTTAAATCCGCCACTGTAAGTAGAGGCCCCATAGGCAAGTATTTTAAGCATGGGAACCCGTCCGGAAATGCACCAGTAAAAAATTACGGCGATCTTTAACTTCGGTCTTTAGCGCCTGATGGATAGAAAACCCATCGCACTGGAAATTGTTTCTTTTGAGGTGGGTCAGTCGTGTAGGTGACAAAGATGACAAACATTGAAAGTTTTACGATGAACAACGTAAACATTTAATGAAATCATGGTCAAGAAACAATAAACTAAAAAAAGTTTGCCTACCCATCAGGCGCGAAAGACCAAAATTAAAGATCGCCGTAATTCTTTACTGGTGCATTTCCGGACACGGGTTCCCATGCTCAAAATACTTGCCTATGGGACCTCTACTTACCCTATGATTTTTGCCAAAGTTATCGTTTACACCCCGTAGAACAATCGCAAACTCTTGAATGTCGATTCGGACCAACACTTTGCGGATAAATATTACTATCGTCCGAACCAGGGATGGGGAATATGGCGATCTTCGGGTCAGTGTAGCTTGTACTCGTAAGAGAAGTGTCCCTCTCCGTGCATTCTGCTTTTCTTTATTTCTTTTTTATTGTATCGATAAAAAAAGAAACACAAGAAAGTTAGAAAACGAATTATCGTTTATTAACTATGACAGTTCTTTTCTCCAGGCAAAAAAGAAATTCGCCATTGTTGACCCTAGCTATCAAGTCTAACAATATTGCATTCTTTTCTCCGTTTATTTACTATTATTCAATATTTTTCATTTAAGAAACAATACTGTAACTTTCAAAACCTCTATTTTTATTTCTAAATTCAATAATTTCAAAAGAATGTTTTGAGATCTATTACTAATGCCTCTAAAATGTATTAAACACTGGTAGGATAAAAAATTTAATTACTATCCTCTTAGCCAAAAATCAAACTGATGTTTTAATCAAGCTGAACTAAATATTTTGTGTTGAATATTTCTATAAATAAATTCACGTATAACATATTGTAACGCTTGAGTAACGTAACCATGACAATTTAATCAATTAATGCTCAACGCTACTTACAAATACACTGCGTGTAATAACTATAAAATCACTCTAAAATTTTATATGTTGCTATTAAAATAATGACAAGCAAAGTATACCATATTTGAAATTGTGTTAAGAAACGATATTCTGCCAATGAAGAATAAATTGTATCCACTAAAAGAAGGAAGAATGACAGAAAACTGATTTATTCTTGTTTCATAACTATAAAACCGGAATAACGGGGTATTCTTATTAAACAAATTATACAAATATTACACTGAGAATACAATTGAAATAAGTTGTAACAATAATTTAGTAACATATTGAACCTACCTTATTTTCAAAAATTTCAATTAGTCGATTTTTCATACTTCTTACTAGATTTTGCATTACTAGATTTACCTGCGGTTGCAATTGCGTTTTTTAATTCGGATATATTTTGATACTGTTTATTACCAGCATAGATTTTTCGAACAACAATACTCCAAATGTTCTCTATTGGATTCTGGTTTGATAAACACGCTGGCCATTTCAAAACATCAATGTATATGAACGGCGGCGTTGTCTTGTTGAAAAGTCCAATTTGTTTCTTTATTTTCATTTACATATATATAAATGGTAACAATCGATTGTTTAATATTTTAGTATATTCGTTATTATTAATTTTCGTCATCGGGAATGCTAGAGGTAGCCATACAAGCAGAAAACTCCCTAAACTATAAGGCTACCACCACCAAAGTTTCGCCTTAAAAAATATTGAGGTTCCTTTCCGGAGGTCTCTTCAACACGAACGATGACCAACAAAACCGTCTAAATTAAACTTTTTTTCGTGGGAAAACATCATCTACAAAGTGATTAAATAAGTATGCAAAGAAATAGTTTTAATACGTAAAGTCAACGCGTTTAAATTTTGTTACATTATTCCAACTGCGATCAATGATTGTGTATGCAAACTCCCGTCTAGCTTCTTTATGCCGACTTAATTAATAATTGTGAAGCCTTAATGAAATTTTATCTTCTTATGTGCTTCTTAAGCGTTTTACTGGGGGAAAGCTTCTTCTTTGGTTTCCCTTTTTTTATTTTGTCCACATTGATCGGGATTTAAAGAAAAATTCATCACAACAATGTGAGAACAATTAAGTCTACGTACAATTTCACGTATTTTCACATTATATTCGCGAAAAGCTAAAATTTTGCCTTTTTCCTGCTCATTTAAATAACTTCCACGTGGCATTATTAACCAAATTAATATTATTACACTTCCAACACACTAGACAAAACAAAACTGACGAAATATCGAGAGAAAACAACATTCGAATGCTTGATTCTATAATTATAAAATAGTAACAAATCAGTTTTCTATAGTTCATTTTTTTAGAATAAATATAATTCAACTGTTTCTAAGGAAACATAGATTGCTAACGTGATCTCAAATATGGTATATTCCGTTTCTTCAAATTTCAACAAGAGTATACAGTGACTGTCACTTAAAATCGTACACCTAGCGGTTCAGCCGATATTTTTTCAATAAAACATGAAAATTGTACTAAATTATTGAAACTCGTATAGAGGTACATATGTAACGCTAACGTCTTAGTAGAACAATAATGGTGTTTTAGAATTATTTAAATTGAAATATCCCCTGAACTACTAATTTTTCGACGTCACACAGTTAGTACTTTTTTATAACGATTGTCCAGCTGAATCGATCGATGTATTAAAAAATATCTCGTTCCATTTAAAAAAACAAAGTTGACCTTTATATGACCTTTACGCGTCCACTCACGAAAAAACTAATAACATCAGAATATGCTCCACTCGATACCATTCAAGCCTCCGCTGAAACATTTTTTGTTACGAGTAACAATAGCGAGAAAATCAAGATGTCAAAATCGGGTGAGACACCCTGTATATAAAATTGAAAATTTTAGATTGGTTTTATAGTTACGACACGCAGTGTAGTAGAATTATTGCATGGGAAAAAAAAATATTTGTTTCGTTTAGTTGAAACGCTGGCTCCAGGCAGTCGCCGTAACCAGCGTATCGCCGTCGATCGAACTGGCAAACGCAACTCGCAGCACCGAGACTATCGACTGTTGGGCTTACGAGCTGTTCTTTCATCTTAAGTACCTTCAAGTGAATCGCGCACGACGGACCACCGACAAAGTAATCCTTAACGTTAATTGCAGCTCTTGCGTATCGTTGCCGCGGTGAATGCGTTAATTTCCCTTTCGAATCAACGCGACCGTAACAACAATCTTCAATTGCACTTTCAACCTTGTTAATGAAACTCTCGATTCTACCAGGTAATAGCCGGAGCTGGGTCAGAGCCTACGGACATGATTCACATCAACTTGTGGCATCGTTTGGTTCAACTTCGCGACAACTATATTATATTGTACGAAACGCTGGAAAATTATGAAAAAATTCGCGATCTCGAGCCGGAGAAGCCGCGAGAATAATCTGCGGCGGTTGTATTTCAAAAATTAAAAAAAAAAAAAAAAAAAAAAACACATTCCCAACGAACGCGTCGATTAATTTTCGTGCACGGAGCATAGTTTTTCCAATGTACGTTAACGCGAGCCGTACAACGAGTTCAACTCGAGTAGAAGGCCCTTCTATCGAACCCCTCGGCCGTTTCTTTCGACACGATTCAGCTGACATGGCACGCTATTGTGGCTAACATTTAAACTTCGTGCCGAGGAAGGGAACGCAGACAGTCTACGAGATTTTTGCTTCGCCGTGATTGCACCACCCGACCTGCAGTCGCTGCTCGCTCCGTCGACTTCTTTTCCACGAGTAATAACGTAACCTACTTTGTCAGATAAAACGTCAAACCCTTTTTACGGTAAAGCAATACTATCGGACAATAATATCTACGATTGCCCGATACATTACGAGGCTCGATATCGCTCGATTCCCGGTGTACGAATTTCGATCGCAACATATTCCGCAACGCGACTTTTTCTCGGCTCTCGAACGGAGAAAATAAAGGTTGCTCGGTAAGCGAATAAAAATGCGAAAGATCAACGTCTTACGACCTTTCCAGCGGCGCTGCTAAGAACCAGTCGTTGAACGCGATAGTATTATTAACCGTTGTGCCGCGGCGAACGTATGCTCGCCGCGTGCATTTGGGTTTTAAGCGTTCTTCGAGATCGTCTGTGATTCATCGGACGTGAGCAGCACTTGTCATACATGGATAAAAGGTCGATACTCCATTAAAATCTAATACTGCCACGAACGTTCTACGTGTGGGCTTTTAACTGTAACAACTGTAAATGTTTTAAATACCGCCAGTTAGAAAAAATCGTACGATTCTCGCGAGAGAGTCGAGAACTGAAAATAGACTATAATCACCCGATTCAAAGACACGCTGCATTTTTCTTTAGTACAAAGGATCTAATGTGGATTATACATAGTAGATATTATCGCTTATAAAATTTTAGCAAAATAATTCATTTACAATACGCTGCAGGGATAATTTTAGACTTTCTAATGATTGTTTAATTATATCTGTTTTTGTGTGTACGGAAGTTTGCATGACTAATCATTCTATTTATACAATTCTGAAATCCAAATGTTGTGCGGTGTCTTTCAAAATAAAAGAGAATGTGATTTCTTAAATATTTTGGTGACACATGCAAAGGAAACGATTGAATAATCATTGGACATGAAATATGACCTTTGATTAGTTTACTTACGAACATGATATCGGTGATTTTTCTTCTATTATTGCAATGTTTGAAGATTAGTATTAATAAGTAAGTCATTATAATTATGCGATTCAAGAGGCATAGGACAACTACTATGCCTATCGTTATCAATATATGATTTCAAAATAAGGAGACCAAATTATGCTACCATATTCCAGAATAGGTCTTGTCACAACACAATATAGAATGTTGAGTGTATTAGTTTTGTTGGAAACTCTATGAATAAGTCCCAAAGAGCAGAGACTACGCGAAATAATTTTTTCAGAATATACTCTGAAAGATAAGTTAGAAGAGAAAGTAATACCAAGGTCTTTAACATGATTAAGTAAAGCTAGTAAAATACCATTTAGAATATAATTGTAAACAATATTATCTTTCTTATTACTAATCTTAACAATATGGGGCACTTATTGAGGGACAATTTATTTAATGAACACCAATTCTGAAGCCTGTCAAGATCATCTCGAATTGATTGGGCACTTTGCTGATTATAAACATATTTATAAATCTTAAGATTATCGGCATATAATATAAATTTAAAGTGCTGGAATGCCTTGGAAATGTCATTAATATACAGGGTGTTCGGCCAAGCCTGGGAAAAATTTTAATGGAAGATTCTGGAAGCCAAAATAAGACGAAAATCAAGAATATCAATTTCTTGACTGAGGCTTCGTTAAAAAGTTATTAAAAAATTAAATTAAAAGTTTCAAATCATTCATGGAAAAATTATTTTCGATTGCGGGGGTCATTTACAGTCATTTTTTATCAATAGACATAACTTCGAAATACTAACCATTTTCGAGAAAAAAATTCGATAGCCGAATTAAAAAAATTACTTCCCTACATTTAAATTACGATATCTCTAAAACGGAAAGTGGGATCGACATAATCCGGAAAGCATTTTAAAAGGGAAGCTTCGTCGCTTCATGGAGAAAATACTAATAATTTCGAAACTGCACGTAATTAAAATTTTAGTAATTTCATTACGCCTTAATCGATTTTTGTTTAATGAAGAGTGGAATTTTTAAAATTACCCCTTCATTTCAATTCCGATATCTCGGAAACGGAAAGTCGAATCGACATAAAACAGGAACTATTTTAAAGGGGAAGCCTTGCCGCTTCTAACAGTGGTTCAAATATAGATAAAACATTAATAGTTTTGGAACTGTATCTGTGTAAAGTTTAACTATTTTTAATACGCGTTGTTAGACTGTTCTGAAACAGTGCAAATAGATTCTAGAGGCCAAAATAAGACGTAAATCAAGAATATCTATTTGTTGATTGAGGCTTCGTTAAAAAGTTATTAAAAAATTAAATTAAAAGTTTCAAATCATTCATGGAAAAATTATTTTCGATTGCGGGGGTCAATTACAGTCATTTTTTATCAATAGACATAACTTCGAAATACTAACCATTTTCGAGAAAAAAATTCCTTACTGAAAATATACCCCAAAATTTCTTGCGTATCTCTAAAACGCCACAACTTCTAAACGGATTGAAAAATTTTAATGTTTCAAAATACAAATAACGCGTATTTTAGTGAAGAATATGTAGAAATTCTAATAATATTGAAAAAGTTGTTCCTTAACCCCGTAAACTGAGAAAAACCCCATAAAAGTGGCCCAATATTCAAACAGCCATAACTACTACAATAGTGAATATATTTCAATGAAACTTTTTTCTGGAGTAGAGCTCATAGGTACCTACAAAAAAGTACTAACCAACTTTTCTGTACAGCTCCAACTAAATTTATTAAAAATGATAAACGGATTTGTAAGAAAAATCGACAAAGGGGTTCCCTAAAGTTTTCGGCGAAATTGAAAAATTTTAAATCGTTTTGGAAAAATTATATTTAGTTACAGGGGTCAATTACAAGCATTTTTTGTGAATAGACATACTCCGAAATCTTACACACTTTCGAGAAACAAATTCTTTACCAAAAATCTAGCTGCTGCACAATAAATGCAGCGGCAAATCTTTCTGTAGCGTAGGGAAGTGCCGACAAGTATCACGACGACTGGCATGATCGTACGAGTCATGGACCAATACTAACAAAGAGTCAATGTTACCTTTAGATTTCGCTGGGGCCTGGATAAACCGTCGAGTGGACCAATTATTCTTTCGCAAGATTGAGCTTGCGGCGAACCAAAGAGAGCTTATATCTCAGACCAAATGGATTTGTTCTTAAATTGCTTGTAATTAGGATTGTATCTGAGATATCGATCGACCGCGTGGTGCCGCGGTAAACTCGATCGCGACAAGAATGGATGACAAATGGGATCGGTAAATCAGTAATAAATATGGCGGCTGTCAGCCGGAAACCCTCCGGTTGCTCGGCATAGGGTAATAGAGAGAAACGCTAAAAACGAAATACGTTTCATCTTCGTGATCGTCCCTTGCATTAAAAGTAATAGGTCTTAAAACAATAGTATAGAAATTTTCAATTTCAATATTTTACAAACATTCATTTAGAGGCGTGTTCCATTTGTTTCATATGCAAAAATTTCAATAGAAATTTGAATATGCAAAATATAGTTGTGAGACTTTATATAGGAATTGATTTAATAATTTTTGCATGTGCCAGCAATGAAACTTGCCCTAATGAGCATGCATAAAATTCGAACCAGTTTGTGAGAGATTATGAACTTTTCGAAATGCAGTCACAGTTCCATTAAAGAGTTAACATTTTCAAAATATAGTATCATTTTGAGGCTTTATTGTTTTTTTATAGTAAATTATATTGGCCTACCAAAATGTTGTCTTTCTTTTTTTTGTGTACTCCTAGAAAAGTTTGTCCATCGCTGACGTAGAGGATCTTATCAAGTTATTAGTATCGAAATGTTGATAAATGTAGATGGTGTAGCTTAACTTTGCCACCTTAAATCCGTCTCTGGTTTTAGACGTATGAAAGATTTCAAAGGAATCGAAGGCAGATGCTTAAAACCCCTCGGCGAAACATAAAAATGTTTGAGAGTAAATATTCTCGGGAAAGTTTACGGATGATCACGATGCAAAAACGCTTTTCCCCATGGACTGATGGGACAGGTATCCGTTAACACATCTAGCTAAAGGTAAAAGTGTTAAACGAGTACCGACCCCAACTAACCTATGATCTTGGTTGATAGTTGATCGCGAGTTAAGCCTCGCTTCATCCATAACAGCCTCGAACGAAATCCCTCGTGTGGCTCCATCGTGCGAACGAACGGTAGTCACGACTCTGATTACGGACCATGTAAAACATCGGAGAACCGCACGAGAAGAAAAACAGCCAGCAGGCGCACAGAAGAAAGAGGCCCTGCGATAGAAGGAGAAAACTTAATACGAAATAAAGCTGAAGATCGGCGAAACTTTATTCCAATAACAGATAACGCAAAGTAGTTGATTCGCGATTAACAATGGAAAAAAAATTCTCAAACGTGAATATCTACAAACTAAATAATCGTATATATGTATAAAGAAAATTGTATTTATTAGAAACTACACTGCGGAGCATAACTATAGCACCACTAAAATTTTTAACATTTCCGACCTGTAAGAAAATAATTTGGAACAACCAATTATATGGTACGAAAAAGCATTGTGAATAATGGATTTTAGGTGAAATTCATTGAAGATGTCTACTTATATTTCAAGATTTAATCGATAAACGTTTGACGATCGGTGCAAAACAATAGAACCAGTTCATTTTTAACGCACTTCAAGGGTTTCTGTTGGAATTATTTTAGTAAACCCGGGAATTCTTAATTAAT